CTCTAAATTTCCAGGCCAGGGAATATCTCTGAACTGAGGAGCTTTCTTGGATAATGTTCCTATTACCGAAGATTTATTGAAAACTTTGCTGACAAAGCTAGATCTTTGCATGACCTACTGAAGACTAAAAAAAACAATTCTATTGAGATGCAGCTCAAGAGAAAGCGTTTAAAGTCCTTAAAACAGCTCTAATTTCAGAGCCTGTCTTAGGACACTTTGATGAATCCGCTGATACCCATCTACACACGAATGCAAGCGGATATGGTATTGGAGCTGTTCTACTACAAATACAAGGTGGAAAGGAACGGCCTATAGCTTATGCATCTAGAAGCTTGACAAAGGCTGAACATAACTATTATACAACAGAAAAACAATGCCTTGCTGTAGTCTGATCTATTAGCAAATTCCGTCCATATTTGTTTGGTCGACCATTCACGGTTGTCACTGACCATCATTCTCTATGTTGGTTGGTAGGACAGAAAGATCCTTCTGGCCGTTTGGCAAGATGGGAGCTGAAGTTGCAAGAATTTGACGTGACCGTTATCTACAAGAGCGGATGCAAACACAAGGATGCCGATTGTCTGTCAAGGAGCCCGCTTGAGAACGATCAACCATGTGCTGTGATGTCATTAACCACGTCGATATAGAGCAGACTAAAGACCCCGGATTTAGCTAAAATAATCGATAATTCAAACTCGGGCTACACCAGAAAGGAATTCAGCACTATCGACGGCATCTTATACAAGAAAAACTATAGCACAACTGGAAGACCCTGGCTTATGATGATTCCTAAACACTTAAGAACGGAAGTTATGGCAGATTTACATGACGCTCCTACAGCTGGGCATTTGGCTTTCGCCCGAACGTATGACAAAGTGAAGAAACGATTCTATTGGCCTGGCCTTTATAGAACTGTTCGCCAATATGTAAGCCATTGTCGGGAGTGTCAACGAAGGAATAAATTACCTCGACGTCCGGCTGGACAACTTGTATCTATACCACCTGTAGAAAAGCTATTCTATAAGGTCGAGGTTGATCTCCTTGGAGGATTTCCAGTTTCTAAAGATGTAAACCGTTGGATCATTGTGTGCACCGATTATATGACAAGGTATGCCATAACGAAAACGATTCCAGACGGAGGAGCAATCGAAACAGCTAAGTTCCTGGTTGAAGATGTTATCTTGAAGCTTGGAGCTCCTAGAGAACGATAAGAAATTTCATTTTTCAAGTAATAAAAGAGATCAATGCTCTGTGTGGAATTGTGTGCACAGATTTACAACGGCCTACCATCCCCAGACCAACGGCCTGACTGGAAGGTTCAACAAAACTCTGGGAGATATGTTGTCCATGTACACAGGTGTTGAGCAGAAGGACTGGAACCAAGTTTTACCCTACGTAACTTTTGCTTACAACACTGCTAAACAGGAGGCGACCGGCTACACTACGTTCCTTCTTGTCCACGCCCGCGAGGCCGAGACCTACATCGATGCCGTACTACCTTACCTACCAGATGAAATCTCTGACGACTACGTTGGAGAACTTGTGACTAGAGCTGAGGAAGCGCGTCAACTCTCCCGATCACGCCTTCTACAATCACAGGCGAAAGACCGTAGACTTTACGACAAGAAACATACTCCAATCTATTACCAGAAGGATGATCTAGTGTGGGTTTTTACTCCCATCCGAAAAGTGGGGCTCTCATAAAAGCTACTGAAGAGATACTTCGGTCCCTACAAGGTGACCAAGAAGCTTTCAGAAGTAACGTATGAAGTAAAGCCCGTGGACCCGGCTCCACGATCACGGAAAGCCAAGGATATCGTCCATGTCATTCGGATGAAGCCCTACCTGGACCATTAAGAACAACATTCCATTCTGCTAGGGAACACCAGCCGTGATAGATTTCCTTCCAGAACAAGGGCTGAGACAAGCTAATCAGCGGGTCGCTGTTTTCTCTAAAGAGGGAGTAATGTCAAGGAGCTCCATCCAGATGGGACACCAGTCAATCATCCCTGGACCCCGGGAGGGACCACAGGTGTGAAGAGTTCTCGGAAGCTGATCTGAAAATAAGGAAAACGGGACGGTGGCTGACGCCGTTCATTTTAGGATTATCTTCAACTTGGGGTAAGTTGTGCTTTCTCTCTCTCCATATAAATACCCCTTATAATAAATTAATTATTCCCAAATTTGCCCTAGCTTTATTTATCTCCGCGACAATATTTTGATCCAATATATGCCGTTTTAATTAAAGGTATTTTAATGTAAAAACACACATTTTATAGATTGATCTATAACATTTACATCTATAAATAGATAGAGAGTAATTGCTTTATATTTGAAAATATTGTTATTAGAAAATTACGCCATAAAATGTATACGTTTCTCATAAACAAATACAACGTATTTCGGTAGCTTCTACTTCATATTGCTGTATAGACCGTCGGTTTTATATATTCTTGGATTCTTGTCCAACTCCATCATTGAGTGCAAGTAGACAACAGGGATGTGGTAGATTTATAAGCGCAAGAATCGAACTACTTTCCACATGTGTAGACATGTGGTGCACTTGAGGACTCTAGCTGTCATTATGGCAATGAATTCCATGGCTCGAGACACCTACTGCTGGAATCCCACTCTTTATCGCTAGACAACAGACAGTAAATAATGTTGTAGATCTATATCAATTTATAAATACTAGATAGAATTATCACAGATTTAGCTATTTTTGTAAATATATTAATGATTATCTTTCTAACCTGAAAGGTTCAGGTTTCTAATATATATTATTGTTCATTTTTTAATGATTTTTAATTTTTCTTCTTGTATAATATGTTTATAACTGTTTCTGTTTAAAAAATGTAAATCGACGCAATTATCCCTAGCCGGGATATCGCGTTTTGTGTGTTGAAATAAAAAAGAAGTAATGCGTACTAGGTATAAAAAAACTATGTGGGCGTTTTTTCTTTAGGTGCTGTTGACTTAATATTCCTATAAACTTTTCAATATACATTTATAAGGCGTTTTAGACTCTCTCCTCATATATTATAAAATAAATGAAGCTTCCAGGGTTAAGTTTCTTGTGCAACTTTTATTTTCAAACTTTCGGACTTGTCAGTCCTTCAACAGAATTATCACGTTAAAAGCTATAAAATAAATACAATAAATACTCCTCATATAGTTTCTCTCTACCTGGTTGCTCATTGCTGTACATCTCTAGTCTATAACATCCAATATTCAAGTAATACATACTATACGGTTGTCCCAAAAGTTCGTGTTTTTATAAAACTACTTTTTCTTATTACTTGACGAATAATATTATTACGGTGAATACATAATAAGAAATAATACAATTATTTTATACATAAAACTAAGACACTATATATAAAGGCGAATATTATTGGTATATTCAATTTTTTTGCAAGTGTTTACCTACTTTTGGGAAACCTTGTATAATGGTATAACTTTAAAAGCTTATCGCTGTACAGTGTCAATATAAACCGTTGTATTATGTACAGGTATCGATATATCGGGGCTCCATTGTTACAAGATTGAAGATTTAGACAAATTACAAAAAATAAAACATAAGACTCTTAACTCTTTGCGGCTTCTTATGATATTTTTAATTGATAAATTATTGAAATATATATTTTAAAAAGTATGAAACATTCAGTATAAAGTAAATTTCAAATTCTCTATTCATAGAAATTTCACAAAATAATATATATAATGTCAGCCACTAATGATAAATAAAAATTATATTTTATTTTTTTTTCAATTAATTTCTCAGAGAACAAAATTATTTCTTCTTATTCCAAAATAACTTTATTTGGTACCTCTCAAAAAGAACAACCTAGCTTATGTTATTTACAATGATAAATATGAACAAGTTCTTCATAGAAAAAAAGTGTACAATACGGGATTCGATCCCGGTTCATGGCTGTCGGGAATTGAGGGTTTTAATTACTCGTCTACCGATTTCTTATCATAATTATTTCTTACAAATTGATGATAAAGAAGAGGCCAATTTCAGATAATTATACCTTATATATTCAAGTAATACATACTATAAGGTGGTCCCAAAAGTTCATGTTTTTCTTGAAACGTTGTTTTTCTTAGGCGAATATTATTATTACGGCGAATATATAATAATACATAATACAATTACTTTATATATAATACAAATGCATTATACATAAAGGCGAATTATATTGGTATTTCATTTTTTTGCAAGCGTTTAAGAACTTTTGAGACAACCTTTTACAATGGTATAACTTTAAAAGCTTATCGCTGTACAGTGTCAATATAAACCGTGGTGTTATATACAGAAATCAATATATCGGGGATTCATTGTTACAGGATTAAGATTTAGACAAATTACAAAAAATAAAATCATAAGACGCGCAACTCTTTGCAGCTTGTACAATGATATAACTTTAAAAGCCTTATCGCTGTACCGTGTTACTTGTTAGTTGGAATGGTGTTGAAAAGGTAGAAGGTCTGTGAACTAGTTATTTACTAAAGACGTCTGACCTAGAGCACCTCTATTAAATCTAACAGCCAATATTCTCCATTAAGTATTTATCGGCCTGCTTTTCATCATTCCATTATTAGAGAGCCGGATTCTATCTCATTCTTCCTTTTATAACACCCTTGTTGTTACCGTTCTATTCTGGCTTTGTTAAGTGTGAGAATTGAACGTGTTCTGGGACTTTGAGGCTTTGTGAGAATCTCCTAGGGAACTAATTCCTTCATCGTATTTCATTTTAGGTGGCTACAGAGTCTGTTTAGTGGGAACGGTGTCGATATCAATGTTGCTTTTAATGATATTTGAAAATATTTGTAAATATTGTTTTAAAACGACATTTGAAATTTATCCCGTAAGTGTTTCTTTTCAACGAATATTCAAAATTTATTCCAAGAAGAAATAACGATTATTTCTGAACTTATGGATGAGGTATAAAAGGATGAATTGTGAAGAGTAATGATAAACGGAAAAATAAAAGTGTCCAGGGATGGGAATCGAACCCACAGTGTTCCGCTTACCGGGCAGATGCCATGTCCACTAGGCACTCTGTGGGTTCGATTCCCATCCCTGGACACTTCTATTTTTCCGTTTATCATTACTCTTAATAAGGTTAAAAATAATCGTTATTTCTCCTTGGAATAAATTTTGATTTTCGTTGAAAAGAAACACTTGCGGGATAATTTTCAAATGTCGTTTTACAATCACGGGCCGCATTGTATTATATTGAAAAATTGTTTTGAAAATAGAGCAATCCATAAATAAATCTTTAATCAAAAAGGCATATTGGATCAAAATATCCTTTATTTTACCAATATTTCAGTTGGCTGAACGCCAACCTTCATAAAGGTATTATAACATATTAACTGAGGTGCACTTACAGTAAAAGCAATCGCCAACTTCTAACAACATGATTATTATGGCCTGTACCACGTGTTTTAGGAATGAGCAAAATATATATTTATACCGATCTAGTGTTGGTATACAATCTGGTGATATATGTGATAGAGGAATTCTTCGTTAATGTATAGCGACGTGCTCAACATCTTGTTGAAAATTTGCTGCGAATATAACTTGAAGATTTAACCACGTATTGACCTAACTTTTCCTAAAGTTGTTTATCATCGTTGAGGTGTTACCAACCAACCCGCTGACATAATTCAAAGGCAAACAGAGTTTTATAGACGACCATAAGATATTTTAGTTAAAAACATCAACTATATATTCTATTATAAAAGTAATGCATCATTTTCAGTAATTAAATCCAATGATAAAACAATATTCGCACTTATTTGTTGAACATTATAAACCATTATTGAAATAGAACAAATTATACGTGTTCTGTGCAATGCATTTTTTAGGATTCAAATGAGAAAGTTTTCGAGTTTATGATTCTTCTTCAGACAATCAAGGTGTAAACCAATTTATTCCATGCGTCAACCGTCTGATAAGGAATTCTTTAAAAGTTGCTAATAGTCTTAAGATAACTTCCGTAGAAGGCTAAAACCTTCCACCACCTGTGAACCGGGGGGCGGACGGACCAATCAGGAAGAAGCCCATATAGCGACAGCCAATCGTGTTTTTTCTTGTTGACAGCGTGGTTGAATGATCCTCCATGCCTGTTACTTGCATGTTCTCCCTAAAAAGGAGTCGAACAGAGATCATGATCAATCCCGCGTGCTTATTTGTCCATCCTTGATACTGCAGCGGCCCAACAATACGAATGTTCAAGAACAGAATATACGAGGTGTGTTCAAAAAGTATCGCGACTTTTGTGTTTTTTCAAAATTATTTATTTATTCATGAATACCTATTTTGTTCCCTTCAAAGTAATCCCAATGAGATATTATACACTTGTGCCAACGGTTTTTCCAATCTTCGAAGCACTTCAAAAAATCATTTTTTAAAATCTTTTTCAGCTCCTCCTTCGATGCCGTCTTTTTCGGCTTCTTCAGTTTAGGGAACAAGAAAAAGTCACAGGGGGGCAGATCTGGGGAATACGGTGGCTGCGGCATCATTGGTGTGTTGTTTTTGGTCAAAAAGTCGCGCACAAGCAACAATGTGTGAGCAGGGGCGTTATCGTGGTGCAAAAGCCAATTTTTGTTCTTCCACAAATCCGGGCGTTTCTGGCGGATTGCTTCGCGCAAATTGCGCATAACTTGCAGGTAATATTTCTTATTGACCGTTCTACCCTGTGGCAAGAACTCATGATGCACCACGCCCCTGCAATCGAAGAAAACTGTCAGCAAAACTTTCACATTCGACCGAACTTGGCGCGCTTTTTTAGGTCTTGGTTCGTGCGGCAGCTTCCATTGAAATGATTGAGCTTTGGTTTCCACGTCATAACCATAAACCCACGCTTCGTCACCAGTTATGACCCTCTGGAGCAAATTTGGGTCGTCGCGGACAGAGTCCAACATCTCATTAGCAATGTTCATGCGATGCTGTTTTTGGTCGCAATTGAGCAATTTTGGTACGAATTTCGCGGCGACCCGTCTCATGCCCAAATCATTGATAAAAATCGAATGGCACGAGCCAATCGATATGTTTAGGTCCTCAGCAACTTCTCTAACGGTGATTCGACGATTGGCCAATATCATTTTCTCTACTTCATTAATTTTTTCGTCTGTTGTTGAAGTGCTCGGGCGTCCGGCACGCTCTTCGTCGTTCACATCTTCTCGGCCTTCTGAGAACATTTTGTACCATCGATAAACGTTGCTTCGGTCCAAGGTAGCTTCTCCGTATGCCAGTCAACATTCGGAATGCATCCGCGCACTTAATTTCGTTTTTCACACAAAATTTGATACAGGTTCTTTGATTCTTTTTTTTTTAATAGGTAAAAATCGAAGACGATCCAAAACACCTGCAAGCAAAGCAGCTGTCAACAATTAAGTGAACATTCAAAATGGCCGAGCTTGTCGGCATAAGTGAGAGACATGAGTACCAACATAAAGCCACAAAAATATCGAAATTCGAATATACGTAACCCGCGAAGATTCAAAGGTCGCGATACTTTTTGAACACACCTCGTAGAGTTATGAAATTAGAGCAATCAAATTTTAAATATCTTTAGATAATAAAAGGGCATTAATTGGATTGAATATAAATATTTATTTTCCAATATTTCGGTTGGCTGAACGCTAACCTTTGTCAAGGCATTTCATTTTGTAAATGCCTTTTTTCACTTTCCTTTGTAACAAAGTTCTCAAATATCGAAAACCACACTTTTTATTCAAATATGACGGTGTATTACTAAATTTATATGTTTCACCCCATAGATACCCTAACATTTGCACTGAGTTACTCTAGCTTTATTTAGGTGCAAACATTTATATAGTTTAATAATCTACAGGAGAGAGGCCAAAGTTGATAAGAAATTAATTCACAATGTCACATAATAAACCTTCAAACAACACCTATTGATAAGAAATAAAGTACATGGGAAATACCCCGAAGCGACTAAAATAAACACTTCTGAACAAGAGGAAGGCTGTGGAGGTAGAAATAAAACTACATTGAGTGCTGCTCTATCGATGCGGTTTCTAACATATAAGTACTCCAAAAATATTAAATACTTGAGAATTCACCAAGAATGACATATTTGCATCATAGCACTTATTTCTGATCCGAGAAAGTCCATGCACGTTAAAGAAATTAAAATATAAATAATTAGCAAAAATTTGTTTTATAGAGATGGTAATAATGTGCTTTTTTGTGTAATTTCATCTATCATTACTATATTGCTACCCTTAACTAGTAATTTTAATAACTATTAAATTTTGTAGATACAATATTAGTCGGTAGAACATTCATTCGGAAAAGAACCAGGGCGAAGCCAGGTTCATTCTGCTATTAATAGCTCTAAGAAATAAAATAACTGTTTATTTTACCCTGATATTTGTTCTTGCAGCGACAACCATTATAACTGCTAAGTCACCATGTCACGAAAAATGTGCTACCTCAATATAGATACTATAATTATTAAAAATAAGCAGTCCTGTCAGGATTCGAACCTGGAATCTTTTAATCTTAATCATGCGTATTATCTCCATTGCACGACAACAACTATGTTATAAATTGCTCATATGGTATATATAAGAAGTAAACATGTGGAATGAGCTTGTCAAAGTGTGGAGTCTTTTTCGAGGCGTACAGTACTTTTTATTCTAAATAAATACTAGGAAACCATTATATATATATAAAAGCATAGGGTGCCTTCCCGCCAAAATATGAACGTCAATACTAGATGTCATCTATTGACCGTCACCGCAAACTAGCGGCCTCGGGTCGGTAACAAAGCCACAACACCAGCTTTGAAAAAGTGAGAAGCGTCCAGCTGGAGACCATGGTTTCGGGCTAATGGCCATCGTCACCGGCTATTTCACCGACCCGAAGTCGCTAGTTTGCGGCGATAGTCAATAGATGGCTTCTAGTTTTGACAGGAGATGCACCATATGCTTTTATAGATCAATTTCCTCTCGGCAAAATTTCAAACTATAAATATATATATATATGAATATATATAAGAGAAAATCTTGGGAGTGTTGGTTTCTGGTAGAAAGGCTGAGACAGCAATTTTGCTTTGTCACAAACCCCGGGGAATTTAGAATTTGCACAAATTCTCTAGATTCTCTCTGCTCGACGTTAAAATTTGGCCAATGACTAAAACGTGAGTGGGATGAGGCGACCTCGGAGGAAGGTAGATTTCCTTTATTTATGTCTTCAACCTTTGACCTTTGTGGCATGACGTAATCTACCCCTCAATTCTCTGTTTCTTTTTATATATACTCAGGACCTCAGGGAAATCAAATCTGTTCATATATTATTCATAAGGGGATTCTAACAGATGGCTAGAACAGAATACATTTATATTCGTGGATGGCTTTTCTTGATTTATAAAGAAAATAGGTTGGCCAATTACCAGGGAACAGGCTAAATTGATGTTTAGTTGATATCTGTTCCACTAGATGGTGCTCTGTCATCTAAAAGGCACATACGGTCTTGGTCAGGATATGCCTTCTTTATTTTTGATATATATATGGTAATTTAAACAAACAACCCCATATTGTATATAACTTATAAAAAGATTTTAATGTTGTATAATAGAAACACATCTGTTAATGATTATACGTATTATTGACATGTGTCTTTACATCATCATATGTAATGCAATTTGTACAAACAGGATAAATAAATAAAAATTTGTAATAGATTTGAGAGTTGAGCTAAGCAAGAGATGGAAGTCATTACGTCAAAATCGAGATAGATTTAGAATGCCCACAACAAGGTCTAAAAATGGACCAGACCACCCACACTGTTCACATGTGGTGGAATGCAGAGCCCCCTCTCACACCTGGTGACATGCAAAGCCCCATTTCTCAGAAACGGCCCCCTGTCACATAAAGCCCCCCCGTCTTTAACCTATAAATACAATCACTTTACAGTCACCTAACAGTTAGTTCACCCTCAACGCAAGCTCACGTCGGTTGTCACCAAGGTCCTCCTCATTCACCATGTAGACTTGTAAGGACTCTTCTATCTCCATCTT